TTGAGCATGTGCCCTATACACTTCCTCATAGGATTAATAGGCTGCAAAAGTGGAGCTATAAACCAAACATATGGGGTATGGTAAAAAGAGCGAGTGGATTGGAAAATTATACCAGTCTCCAAAGCCTCACCCCAGTGTTGGCCTTGACTTGGGGTATAGGTAGCTACCTAATGTAGTGTAATTTCAAGAGTTGCCAAAAAAACCTCCTTTAAGCAAAAAGAAAGGAAAAATTCCTTCCCAGTTATCGGCTGGGGTCCAAACTCCTTTTTCTTAGGCATAAGCCTTTTGCTTTACAGAGAGTTTAGGCTTGGAATGCAAGACTTCCACATTTGAAGATGGAGTCCAGGAAGTTAAACATGGCAACTTTTCCTGGGTAATGTCAGTACCCCACAAAAACTCAGAATTTCTGGATCATGTGCAATAGATCCCAGAGCTTTTGCATACTTTGCCTTTCAGCTCAGTTAATAAATCAGCTTTTTCTAGTCTTGGTGCTTAATAGTTCATGCTACTTTTGTTTTACTTATATTTTGGGGCCATTTCTCCACATTATATTATCCAAAATCTATAACGTTTGGTTTTAAAGAACAAAAGATTAATATAGAAACCTCCCAGCAGACACTGGGATCTTCATAAACTGAATAAATAATCCTGATGGAAAATGGTTTAAAACTTAAGATTTTAAATACTAAAATGCAAGTGACAAAAGGGCCGGCTGAGTGGCTCAGTTGGTTAAGAGCTCGCTCAAGAGTTTGAGCTCTGAGCAACAGCGGTTCGAGTCAGCCCGAGCTGAGCAGCCGTGAGCTGCCAACAGGTGGCGGGATGGCTCAGCTAAAAAAAATAAAAAAATAAAAAATAAAAAAATAAAATGCAAGTGACAAAAAGGAATAGTGTAGCCCTTAGTAACTACCCCCAAAAGTACCCATTAAACCCTCAGTAATTACTTTTAAAATTCCCATAGAACAATTGATATCCCAAGAGCAAGGTAATAAATCTAAAATATGGAGATCCAATTCATGGATTTTAAATGACAGATAATAGATCCTATCCTTAGATTAGGCTTTGAGGCAGATATGAGAGAGGGATACAAGACATTAGCCAGCGGTTCTCAACCTGTGGGTCACGATCCCTTTGGGGGTCAAACGACCCTTTCACCGGGGTTGCCTAAGACCACCGGAAAACAAGAAAGATATTTACATTACGATTCATAACAGTAGCAAAATTACAGTTATAGAGTAGTAATGAAAATAATTTTATGGTTGGGGTCACTACAACATGAGGAACTGTATTAAGGGGTCGCGGCATTAGGAAGGTTGAGAACCGCTGCATTAAACACTGCTGTCCCAGTTGATTGAATATAAGCCTCTATTGGCTCTTCTCTTTGTCAAACCTGTCTTATTTTCTGGTTCTTTAAAACTATGTCTTTTGTACAGGATTTTAGTTGGTTAATTCTCAATCTTCTACCATGATTTCTATGCTTAGAAAGTAGATCCTACAATTTAAGCAAAACTTTAAAAGAGTCTACTTTGTCCCTAACTTCAAAAAATAAGCCTCCTGGGGGCCGGCTGAGGGGCTCAGTTGGTTAAGAGTGAGTGCTCTGAGCAACAGGGTTGCCAGTTAGATTCCCTCATGGGCTAGTGAGCTGCGCCCGAGCTGTGCTGCCACTGAGCTGGTGAAAGCACATGCTCTTAGCAGAAAGGTTGAAGGTTTGAGTCCCGCATGGGATGGTGGGTTGTGCCCCACCCCCACAATTAAGATTGAACACGGCACCTTGAGCTGAGCAGCCGTGAGCTGCTGACGAGAGGCCGGATGGCTTAGTGTGCAACAAATCTGCCAATTTGTCTCCCACATAGGATGGTGGACTATGTCCACCCCGTCCCCCAAATAGATTGAAAGCGGCAACTGGACTTAAAGCTGAGCTTGCACCCTCCACAACTAAGATTGAAAGACAACAACTTGACTTGGAGCTGATGGGTCCTGGAAAAACACAATGTTACCCTTCCCCAATTCCCTAACACTGTCCCTCTCTCCAATTCCCCAATAAAATTCTTTAAAAAAAAGAGAAAGGAATAACATTTATAAAATAAATAAATAAATAAGCCTCCCATATCCTTGAATTACTAGTCAAGGAGTGATCACATGCTAAGAACCATTACTGTAATCCTACATTTCTCCTTCCAGCAGCACAACCCTCCTGATTAGAAGCAAACTGAGTATTCTGGAAACTCTTGGCTCTTTGAGGTATCTTTCTAGTTACTGACACTAAACTGTCATCAAAAAAGGTGACTGGATTCCTTGACGATCTTCCACCAGTGATGGGAACAGTATGACAGGTATGCACCCTTTAGCTTAGGTGGAAGCAGAGAGGGTGGCACACCATTTTTAACGCATCTCCTTCCAAGACTCTCCTGCATTTGTAAGCCACCACATTTGGGAAAAGAGCTATAACTATAAAGTGTTAGAGGAGTAGGTATCTGTTGCTCTGAAACTGTCTCCAAAAGGAGGGTTACAAGGATAAAATGGGGAAAGTCCTAGACTAACCTCAAAGATCTTGGTGCCAAATCAACTGTACCCATGATCCAAGAACCCACATAATACCATATTCACTTGGAGATCTCTCTAGCCCATGTGTGGAATAAGGATGCCCAAGGTATGAAACATCAAACATCAAATATCAAATTATATTGTAGATTCTCATCAGAACTATTGTCACATTTGTCTGAGATGCCATCAAGTATATTGATTGAAAGGAGGTGGTGAAAACTGTGCCAGATTGGACCCTTTCATATGACAAACTCTGTTCTTCCCACACCAATTTTTAGGTACTAGATTCACAAAGACCTAGAAATTTTACTCTTCTCTAGGTAAAGGCTAAATTGTTCTAAAGGATCACAGATCCAATCTTAAGTCAAGCCTGGGATCACGTTAAGTCCTGGAACTTGGAGCATAAGCAATATTTGAGTGTAATTTTGCATACGGTGTTCACAGCATAGCATGCTCTGTTACTAAATAAAATAATTTTTTTAGTTAATGGCATTATTTGCAATATTTGGTTCATTTTTGATGATTCCTTATTTCACTGGAGTGAAAAGTAATACAATTCAAGATTGAAACATAATGAAGCAAGACTGGAAAGGTCAATGTTGTGTGATCTTGTTCCTTGGATTTAAAAGCAAAATATATACCATCCATTCTTTTCTTGTAGTATGAGTTGAAAAGTATCTAAGAAGCTCAGAAAAACCCTTCTTCCAAAATCTTTTACAGGCGTTCCTACAAAAATACTATGAGTTTCTATTTTGGGTTGACTCAAAGGATAGAGTGGCATCTTCTAGCTAAAATTAATAGGCAAGCAAATAAGGAATCTCCTCTGGCAAATGCAAATTTGTTATACCTTTCTAGCACAGTATTAGTAACAACCGGCAGTATTTCAGAAGGAAAAACAAACATTTACATGTTATCTCTGTTTACAATATTTTGACATGAGTAACAGCTCTACTTCCTTTTTATTGTTAAATGGCATAACTTTCTTATTTTAGACTAAATATTTCTGCAGATGTGTTTACCAAATATAAGTTGAAGCATATCATGCACTTGTGCAAAATTTCTTCAAGTGTCCACATTCTGACCTAAAAATCTGACATTCAAAGTTCTATTTTCTCTTTTTAGCCTGATCTCTTATTATATTGTTCCAAATGCTCTAGGCATCATGATGCCAGGCTGGACTTGAATACATCATGTACCTTGATGTCTCTGTCTTTTAATTTAGCCTGAAGGTTTTTATGTTCCACTCCCCCATCTCTACATTCCCACTTGGATAGGAAAATTCTTGATAGAAAGGAGTATTTTGATTAGCTAATATCTTCCTACAAGACTTCCTTGATGCATTCAAATTAGAATTACCTCTTTCCTTTGACTTCCCATAGCATATTGCTTGTGCCTCTATTATAGCCTGATGTGTTTCATCCTATCTCAAGGCATAATTAGTCGTCTATATTTTCACTAGATTGTAAGCTCTTTGACAATGGGGACTTTTTCCTAATCACCTGTGTATCTCTCACAACACTTAGAATATAACTGTACTAAAGGATTGTCCATTAGCTGACAGTTAGGAAATATCTATTAAATGGATAATACAAATGCCCCTGAATGTTTGGAGAACCATTTTTTTTCCCAGTTATACAGTTCTGTGTAATTTTTGCTGTATGCCATTTAAAGGCTCTTCAAGTTATAAAACCTAAACACACATTTAATAATTCTGAGTTATTGTTTTAATCATTGATATTGGCTACTGCAAAGCATTTGGAGATTACAAAGGCTGATTCTTAAAGAACTTTCCTTTTTTTCATTTACTGAGAAGTACATCTAATTGTTTTTCTTTATAGATTTGCTTTTCCAAACAGGAACATTTTCTCTTCCTTATTAGTAATCTACCAATGAATAAAATAAGTGTTCTAAATGCTATCCTATTGAACTAATTAGAATTTCCTCTGTAGTTTCCCAAAAATACACAAAATGTATTTCCTTAAATGATTGGGAGTCAAATTGAAGAAACTTCAAAAACAATTAAAGATAAAACACATCTTTCACAGCAACAGTGGCCTCCAAAAGGTCAATGTCCATTTAACACTTTGAAAATCATCCAACTACAAATTTACCATCTTATCTGCAAGCTATGATCTTGTACTATGGTATAAGACTGAAAACACGTTATTGCTTTTTTTTTAAATCTACTCTTGAGAATATACATTTAAGCAGCCACATTGTATTATGATCAAAAGAAGTACAAATAAAAGGAAGTCAGGTTAAAAAAGTATCAGCTCCCCAACACACACACACACACACACACACACACACACACACACACACACACACCAGAATGGAGTGCAACACATTTCTTTGTGGCAATGTGGTGCTATTTTTATTTTTTCTACCACAGCCTGCTGCCCTCAGTGCAGGAAATGAGAAGTCCCTCTTCCACCGTAGCCAGGGGACTCACCAAGTACCTGAAAGTATGTTGAACAAGCACTGATCCCAAAACCTGCAATTGTAAAAAGATAATATATACTTTTTCTTATGAAATTTACCTTCTGGTTTGCTCACTTTTATTTCTCACATAGGCCAATTGCTTATCTCTTTAAGTCACTATCCACTTGGAAAGTTAAGCTGGACTTCTGGCCACCTGTAGGCCTAGGGAATTAATTTGTCCTAGGCTGAGTTTATTTCTAATCCCTTTCCTTAAATGTACCTTGTGAAAGGCTAAAGAAACAAGTATTTCTATTAATAAACTGAAACTGGTGACAATAAGTAAAAGGATTATTTTCAGTTAATGGTACTTTTATTTTATTGATTTATTTTTCAATTATAATTGATATACAATATTAGTTTCAGGTGTATAACATAATAATTAGGCATTTATGTATGTTTCAAAGTGATCATCCTGATAAGTCTTATACCCATCTGGCACCATACATAGTTACCACAATATTATTGACTATATTCCCTAAGCTGTATTTTACATTTCCATTACAATTTTTATAACTGGCAATTTATATATCTTAATCTCTTCACCCTTTTCATTCATACCCCCAAACTCCTCTTCCATCTGGTGACCATCATTTTGTTCTCACATCTATGTGTTTGTTTCTGTTTTGTTTCTTCATTTATTTTGTGTTTTAGATTCCACATATAAGTAAAATCATATGGCATTTTTCTTCCTTTGTCTGACTTATTTCACTTAGCATAACACCCTCTAGGACCATCCATGTTGTCACAAATGGTAAGATTTCATTCTTTTTTATGGCCAATTAATATTCCATTATATATGTACCACATCTGGATAAAAAATGGCATTATTTGCAATATCATGTTGGTTTTTTATTGCTCTATTTCGCTGGAATGAAAATTAAATGACTAGCTACTTCTTGAGAGGTTTTTTTGTTTGTTTTTTTCATTTCCATTTTCATGAAATATCTTTTTCCATCCCTTTACTTTTTGTCAGTGTGTGTCTTTCAATCTGAAGTGAGTCTCTTGTATGCAGCATATGTAAGGGTTTTGTTTTCTTATCCATTCAGCCCTCCTATGTCTTTTTTTTTTTCAGTGGAGCAATTCTATCTTTTATTATTATTATTATTATTATTATCATTATTATTAGTTTCAGGTGTATAGAATAATGCAATAATTATATTTTTTCACCAATTTTGTCATTTCTTTTTTTTATTTTATTTATTTATTTTTTTTTATTTATTGTTAGTTTCAGGTGTACAGAACAATGCAATAGTTACCCTTTTCACCCTCACAAAGTAACAACCCCCCTCCCCCATTTCTCGCCCCCCCCACCTTCAAATCATGCTTATCTATTACAATTCCATTGAATCCGTTCCCGCACTCTACTCCGTGTCCCGAGGTTATATGTATATATAATTATAGTTGACATACAGTATTATTCAACATCAGTTTCAGAAATACAATGCGGTGGTAAGGCCTCCACATCAACTATGAAGTGGACTCCCCAAAAGGGCATTGGTCCATCTGGCCCCCTAAGAAATGCTTACAACGTTATTGATTGTATTCCTCGGCCTATCTTTTTCTATCCCTGAGGCCATATTACAATTACCAATTTGTATTGTCTCATCCCTTCCCCTCTCCTTCATCCCCACCCCCTCCCAACTAACAACCCTCAGTTCTTCCTCTGTGTCTCTGAGACTATCTCCATCCACTTCTCCCATCCATTCAGTTCCTTAGAATCCACGTATAAGTGAGATCATATGATATTTGTCTTTCTCTGACTGACTTATTTCACTTAGCATAATGTCTTTTGATTGGAGCATTTAATCCATTTACATTGAAAGTAATTGTTGATAGATATGAAGTTATTGCCATTTTATTATTCATAATTTTGACTTTTTTCCATCTTAAATAAGTCCCTGTAACATTCCTTGCAATACTGATTTAGTGGCGATAAACCTCTTTAGCTTTTTCTTGTCTGGGAAGCTCTTTACCTCTCCTTCGATTTTAAATGATAGCCTTGCTGGGTAGAGTAGCCTTGGTCGGAAGTCCTTGCTTTCCTTTCTTTTTTTTTATTAAATTTATTGAGATCACAATGGTTAGTAAAATTATATAGGTTTCAAGTGCAAATTTTTATAGTACATCATCTATATATCACATTGTGTGTTCACCACCCAGAATCAGTGGTAAAAGTGGAAAAAGGGGATCAAATATATGATGATGGAAAGAGAACTGATTCTGGATCCTTGCTTTTTATCACATTGAATATTTTGTGTCTATCCCTTCTGGCCTGCAAACTTTCTGCTGAGAAATCAGCTGACAATCTTACGGGAGCGTCCCTAAAATTTTCTCTTGCTGCTTTTAGGATTTTTTCTCTTTGTCTTTAACTGTTGTCATTATAATGTGTCTAAATGAGGGCCCGTTTGGATTTATCCCTTTTGGGACTTTGCATTTCCTGGACTTGTATGTTATTTCCTTCACCAGGTTACAAAGTTTTCAGTCATTATTTCTTCAAATAGGTTCTCAATCCCTTGCTTTCCCTCTTCTCCTTCGGGTACCTCCCAGAGGTCTCTTAAACTATTCTAATTTTTTTATTCTTTTTTTTTTTTTTTTGCTGTTCCAATTGGGTATTTTCTGTTACCTTGGCTTCCAAATCACTGCTTCAATCCTCTTCTTTATCTCATCTGCTGGTGATTCCTTCTAGTACATTCTTCATTTCAGTTATTATATACTTCATTTCTGACTGGCTCTTTTTTGTAGTGTCTGTGTCCTTTTTTATGCTTGCTATCTCTTTGTTGAAGTTCTCACTAAGTTCCCTGAGCATCCTTATAACTGTTTTTTGAACTCTGTCTTTCATAGGTTGCTTGCCTCCATTTTGTCTAGATCTTTTTCTGAAGTTTTTTCCTGTTCTTTCATTTGGGATGCATTACTTTGTTTCCTCATTTTGGCTGCCTCTCTGTGTTTGTTTCTATGTATTAGGTAGGGTTGCTTTGTGTCCCAGTCTTGGCCGGGTGACCTTATGTAGTAGGTGTCCTGTGTGACCCAGTGACACAATCTTCCTGGTCACCTGCTCTGGGTGCTCCAGGAGTGTCCCTTGTGTGACTTGTGTGTGTTCTCCTGTTATAGTTGAGCCTTGATTGCTATTGGCATATCAGTTGGTGGGATTGACCCTCAGGCGGATTGGTTGTGGGGTTTGGCCATGTCCACAGCTTATGGGCAGTTCTGTGGGAGGCTTACCTTACTGAGTGGGATTTGCCTCACTGGTTTCTGGTGCCTGTTGAGACCACGCTTTTTGTGTGCCAATTGTGGGGCTAATTGGGCAGTGCTTTGCTATGTTCTGAAGCCAACTTCCAAGTATGTTAGTAATGGGGCTTCTTGGGAGGGGCTCCTGTGCAAGCCTAGGTCAATCATTACCTGTGACTGGCTGGGGTCTACCTAGTTAGAGCTACAAAGCAATCCTTGGTTGTTTACTGCCTGTACTAATCCCTGGAGGCACATGGGAAATTCCAAGCTGCAAACCAAGGGCACGTGCTACCAGTACCAGGCCTGGATAACTGCAAAAAATTATGACACCTGGATGTCTGCTGCCACCTGCTGGCACCTTTAAAGTTCACCTTCTGAAAAATCCTTGTGGAGACGTGAGTTGGGTGAGGCAGGGTCTCAAGGGGTCACTAGACTGGGAAGAGTTGTGGTCACCAGATTAATGTAAATTCTGGTTTGGTGCCAGTGCTGAGCCTGGAGTGACTCCACAGAAGTCTCAGAGTACACCAAGAACAGTGGTTGGTGGTTGCCTGCCTGGGGCCCATTGACTCTGATAGTTTTCCAAGAGGAGTGCAATGTGAGAGGGACTGGCTGCTTGTGGAGAAAGTGCCTCCAGTGGTGCAGGAGTTGGGTGGAGCAGGCTCCCAGCTAAGTCAGCAAAGTGGAAAAGTGGAGCTCACCAAGCCAATCAAATTCAGATTTGGCCTGTGGGGGTGGGCTCAACCTAGGAAAGATGGTGCCTGCCTGCCGGCTGCACGGTAGAAGGACCCCTTAGCAGGAAACTGCCTGGATAATGCCAACTGTCCTCCAGTCTTCCCCCTGAAGCCACACACCTCAGTCTTCCCCCGCATGTCTCTGAGCACCCCCCACCCCAAGTCAAGACCCCTCCACTGGAGCCCAAAGTGAGTGCCTGCAAGCGAGTGAGTCTGTGTGTGGGCCGTTTAAGAGGACATCTGAGTTTCCCACAGCCTTCCATTGGAATCCCCATTGTTTTTCACAGTCAGACATTGTGGGGACTCCTCTTCCTGGCACCAGTACTCTGGGCTGGGGAGCCTGGTGTGGGGAGCTAGGGTCCCTCGCTCCCCTGGGGGAAATATTTTCAGTCAGTGTATCCCTCCTGAGTCTCAACCACTATAGGAAGGTTTGGGGTCCATTCTGCACCTCCACCCCTCCTACCAGAATTGACATGGCTGCTTCTTTATAATTTTAGTTATGCGACTTCTGTTTTGCTTGACTTGAGGTGGTTGTCCAGGTTGATTGTTCGATAATTTAGTTGTAATTTTAATGTGTTCATGAAAGGACACAGGCACAGTGTTTATCTAATCTGCCACATTGGAAGAAAAGCTTTATATTTTTCATTATTAGATATGATGTTACCTGAGGGTTTGGCATGTATGACCTTTATTGTGTTGAGGTATTTTTCTTCTATACCCATTTCATTAAGTGTTTTACTTATAAATGGATGTTGTACCTTGTCAAATGGTCTTTCTGATTCTATTGATATAATCATATGATTTTTATCCTTTATTTTGTTTATGTGGTGTGTCACATTGATCAAATTGCATGTGTTGAGCCATTCTTGTGCCCCTGTAATGACCCCACTTGATTGTGATGTATAACTTTTTTTAATGTATTGTTTTATTCAATTTGCTAGTATTTGGTTTAGAATTTTTGTACCTGTATTCATCAGAGATATCGGTTTGTAGTTTTCTCTGTGTGTGTGTGTGTGTGTGTGTGTGTGTGTGTGTGTGTTATCCTTACCAGGTTTTGGTATCAGTGTAATGTGGGCCTCACAAAATGAGTTAGGAAGTATTGACTCTTCTTCAATTGATTGGAAGAGTTTGAAGAAGATGGGTGTTAAATCATCTTTGACTATCTGGTAGAATTCACTGGTTAAGCCATCTGGTCCTGTACTTTTGCTTTGGGAGAGGTTTTGATGATTGTTTCAATTTCCTTACAATTGATGTTTCAATTTCCTTACTATCTAGATTTTCTTGTTTTTCATGATTCAATCAAAGGAGGTTTTCTAAGAACTTGTCCATTTCTTCTAGGTTCTTTAATTTGGTGGCATACAGTCCTTCATAATATTCTAATATGATCCTTTGTATTTCTGTGGTACCCATTGTAACTTCTCCTCATTATGCTTATTTGTGTCCTTTGTCTTTTTTTCTTAGTGAGTCTAGCCAGAGGTCTGTCAATTTTATTAATCTTTACAAAGAATAAGCTCTTTGTTTCATTATGTTTTTCTATTGTCTTTTTTTTTTCTATATTTCATTTACTTCTGCTCTACTTTTTTTTATTTTCTTCCTTCTACTGACTTTGGATTTTATTTGTTTTTCTTTTTCTAGTTCTGTAAGATGTAATGTTAGGTTGTTTATTTGGAATTTTTCTTATTTCTGGAGATAAGCCTGTAAAGATATAAATTTTCCTGTTAATACTGCTTTTGCCACACCCCGACAATTTTGATATAAAGTATTTTCATTCTCATTTGTTTCTATGTATCTTTTGATCTCTCCTTTTATTTCTTCTTTGACCCAGTTGTTCTTTAGTATCATGTTGTTTAATCTTCATATATTTCTGGGTTTCTATCCTGCTTTCTTTTTGCAGTCGATCTTCAATTTCTAAGTGTTTGTGGTTGGAAAATATGCTTGGTTTAATTGCAGTCTTCTTAAATTTGCTGAGGCTAGTTTTGTGTCCCAAACTTGGTTTTAAATAGCCATGGTATTCCATGACATATACATGTGTTCTTTTGCATGTGTATATAGTTATTGCATAATACACAAATGTTTTCTAAATAATGAGGCATCATTTGTACTTGGTAACAGCATGAACTCTTTAGCCAGTCTTCCTGGATTCAAATTCAGGCTCTGCCACTGACTAGTTTGTGACTTCGAGCAAGCTACTTAAACATTTTTACATCTCAGTTGCCTCATCTGCAAAATGAGATGATAACAGTGCCTACCTCTATGAGTATTTAACGTGTTAATATTTTTAAGTTTCTATAGTGATGCTATATAAATATATTAAATAAAATTAACAAATTGTTAACATTTTGAACAGTGTAAAAAAACTATAACATATGCATACATAAATGCTGTGACCAAAGATTGAATGCCCGCTAATGTCTTCAGGAGGAAATAATAAAAACACATTATATAGATATCTTTGCACACCTATTAATAAATGCTTTTATTGTTGTTATTTTGTTTTCCTTTGTGTTTGTTTGCTAGTAGTAGTGCTTCAGTATTTCTCTTTCTATCAAGCCTGAGGTTGCATCTTGAATAAGGACTTTCCTGGTTATTAATAAATTAAAATGCATTTGAATTTTCTCCAGTTAATTTGAATTTCATACCACAACAAGGATTCAGGATCAACCAGTACTTTCATTTGTTAACACCTCCAAAGGAGTTATAGAATTTTACTTGAGCCAACAGATAATTACTTCTAATAGAAGTATGTCATTAGCTGTGTAGGCTACTTCACCTACAATTAATCATGAATTTATGAGTATTACAAGCATAATATGCTTGTGATTTTTTTTCTCCTTGTCTCACTGAGCTCTCCAACTATACTCATCCTGATTACATCAGGGAAAAAGTCTCAAGAGGTCTTGAACAGAGGTTCTTTTCATTTTTATGAGAAAATGCAACTAAAAAAAATGATGGAGTTGTTTCAATTTGACTTCCAGATATACACAAACCCTTATACTAAATACATAAGTTAAACATGCACACATTTACATACAGAGAATATGTGCACTACAAGTAGTTGTATTAATTATTAAAACTCTAATCTTCTCATTAGGTATATAATTGAATGTGACTATTTTCTCCATGTTTAAGTGATCTATGGAGCCATTTTTCTCATGATTATTTAAACTGAGCTCAAGTGTTAGACATTTCCCCTTACAATGGTTAGATATCTAGGCTGGTGCATGATAATACACTTCTTTTAAGAGTAGGCATCCATACAAAGAACCCAAAAGCAGACATGACAAAAAATTACACTTCTCTAAAATCTGCATCTTTCAAATCTGTTCTTAACCTAAGATTCATTGACTTTTTAGCTTGCCTAATATTCATGTGGTTCACCTACAACTACTATAATCTTCGTTCTGAGCTAATGGCATCCCCTTCCTCAACACACTCATATCACTCTCCACTTTATAACTAGAGTGACCCATATCTGCGTGTGTGTGCGTGCATGTTTGTGTGTGTGTGTGTGTGTGTGTGTATAAAAGTTTAGCATTGAAATCATTTGTGTAATCTGTACATAGACTTACTTTCAAAATGGGAATAAAGGATTAAGGTGAGGTGAGTGACACAAAATTTGAAGAGTTGCCAAAGAACTCAGTAATCAGGATACCTAATATTTTAGTGAAATATTTTTTTATATTTCCAACAATATTGTTCACTTATTTACTTATATTAAAGTTTATTGGGGTGACAATTGTTAGTAAAGTTACATAGATTTAGGGTGTTCAATTCTGTAATGCATCATGTATATATCACATTGTGTGTTCAACACCCAGAGTCAGTTCTCTTTCCATCACCATATATTTGATCCACTTTATTCTCATCTACCACCCCCTGCCCCCTTACCCTCTGGTAACCACTAAATTATTGTCTGCATCTATGAGTTTTGTTTCTTCATTTGTTTTTCTTGTTCTTTTGTTGTTTTCAATTTTATATATCACATATCAGTGAAGTCATATGGTTGTTGACTTTTTCTGTCTGACTTATTTCAGTTAGCATTATGATCTCAAGATCCATCCATGTTGTCGCAAATGGCACTATTTCATCTTTTCTTATGGCAGAACAGTGTTCCATTGTGAATATATGCCACAACTTTTTTATCCAATCATCTATCAAAGCACACTTTGGTTGTTTCCATGTCTTGGCCACTGTAAATAAAGCTGCAGTGAACATCGGAGCACATATATATTTACAGATAAATATTTTCAGATTTTCTGGGTAGATGCCCAAGAGAGGGTTGGCTGGGTCATATGGTAATTTTATTTTTATATTTTTGAGGAATCTCCACACTGCCTTTCATAGTGGCTGCACCAATCTGCATTCCCACCAACAGTGTATGAGGATTCCTTTTTCTCCACAGCTTCTCCAAAGAGGACATACACATGGCTAATAGACATGTGAAAAAATGCTCAGCATCACTAGTCATCAGAGAAATGCAAATAAAAACCACAAGGAGATATCACCTCACACCAGTTAGAATGGCTATCATTAACAAGACAAATAATAGCAATATTTTTTAAAAATCAAAATGAATACAAGTCCATGATGGACATAATATCAAAATAGTAAGTAAAGACAAGATCAGCATGATTTTTCCATTGCCTCATGCTCCAATATGACTCACAGGGCACTATTAAAAATTATATTATATTCTACCAAATAGTTGATAAATCACTGCCTTTCATGTTCAATAGGATTAAATTCATAGACTGTGAGAACCTGGTCATCACTTGGTAATCTACCAAGTGGACAAGCAAATGTGGGACAAGTGACTAGTGAGGACTCTCAGTACTTCCCAGGGCCCACAGAGTGAAAGAACATTCTTTTAGGGATGACACAAAAACAGAAGTCAAAACCATATTTCGGTACCTACTGTGTTCTCTAGTGCTGGTGGAATTTCCTAATCAAAGCAACAGGGTCTCCTGAGGAAGCCATGGGGAATCTGGCTGGATTAATTTTTTCATGCCTGAAATAACATAGAAGAACAGTGACTAAGTGCAGCTTGAAGAAGATGCTCACAAAAGGCTGAGGAATTACAATAGGTGGAAGCTGAGACACCAAAAATGAATGATCATGGGCAAAGGAGAGTATGGAGAGTTTTACACTTAGCCCTTAGTGGTAGCAAAGTAGAGTGAGTGGGAATCTCTTTCCCATTTGACATTTATTTTTGACTTGGCAGCCTTTAGAATGGGTGAAAGAAGTGAAGGATATCAATGGCAGGGTTCACATGTCACTCCTTGGTAACAAGGAGCTCTTAACTATGATCAGCTATCTTAGAAAAATCTCACAGCTTCTAGTCAAACTCACAACACAGTTGGATGACAGATACTGACTTTTTCTCAGTTGGGAATCTTTTCTGAGTTCTCACAACCACAACTGTTTCATTGGTTAGTGAATATACGTGGAGGGGGACTCAGCTGGCCACTGGGGGTCAGCACATCTGGTGCTGAGATAAATGATCTTCTATGCAAAACTGCATTATAGGTACCTTTGCAATGCTTGTAGATGGCTTCCTATGTAGGGTAATTTAGGGGCATGGAAAACCACACGCCACTTCTCTCTGCTCCACTTTACCCAATGATCTCTTGTCCAGGTTTGCCACCTCGCCTGAAATGACACATTATAAGTACAATAATTTAAGGCACTTTGTCTCCAAGAATCTCCTAATAAAATGAAAATACTACAAGGAGGATTTTTACATTAATCTGCTAACTGTAATCAATCAGAAAAGCTAGTTTTCACCTCATAAAGTGGGCAAGATGGAATACAAAGAGAGATACATTTTACTTTGTAGAAGAAGGGAAGTAAAGGAATCTAGAAGGAAATAGTCATAGGTAGTACAATATAGTAGGATTACATGAAAAACCATATTTCATCATAAGTGTTAGCAGGGAATTCTACAAAGGGGAGGAGAGGGCAGGTAAGATAGAAGGCAGGCAATCAACATGACAGCTGCCATCTAAACAAATTTGTTTCAAGCTAGTCCTTCCAGCAATCTTTATTTTGAGTCATTTCATGTATTAAATTTCATGGACAGAAGTAAAGCAAGATATCAAAAATGGGTTTTTGTTTGGGGGTAACTTCATCATTATTTTTTCTAGAATAGCCATGTATCTTAAAGCTATTCTGTTTTACTTGGCTTTTTTAACTCCCAAGACAGAGCACTTAAGCTGGTAGAATGCATACTACAGGGGAAAGAGCATTGGTCAGAGACATAGGATTCCAGTTTTGGTCTTATCACTAATTAGTGGTGTTACCTTACCATGAACTCTCACACCACAGCCCTAACTGCCCAGTCTCCATATGCAATCCAAGACCCACAGTCTTAGGAATGCTTTCCAGGTTGGTACAGATTTTTCCCTGTCGTGTCCCTATCAAAACATTCCTTAGGGCCATTGTTTCTACTTTTAAGTTCAAACCACTGAGATTTGATAAGTGGATTTAAGCTAATGCATTAATGACAGTGAACTAGGGGGTATTATCCAGGACTTTCAAAGAGCATGTACAGACATTTTCCAAGCAGCTTTATTTTAAAAATTCATGGTAACCATTGCAGATCCAAGCAAAAAAGAGCACAGCACCATAGGAGGAGAGTAGGGGGGAGGTTTTAAACAGGTTGGATCCCTCATATCATACATTGAAGCCTGCTCAGAAGCCTACATATGGAGTAAGTCAACAAGTTCAGCCAGCATATACTACCTAGGGCAACACGCTGTTTTCATTGATGAACCCAAAGTTAACATAGATAATGATTTAATGAGCCTTATTATAATGTTTCAATTGCTAACAGAACTGATTGAGCATTTTAAACAAATATTAGACTTTATTAATGTTTAATAATTTTATTAATAATATATTAATCTTTATTGATGTTTTAATCTTTACAAACAAGGTAATTGTAGACTAGAGAAAGTAAGGGATTCATCCTGAGTTACACAGCAAGTTAATGGTAGAGTGAGGACTAGAACCTAAGTTTCAATTCAAAAACTTGTGCTCCATTATTCACATCACACTTCTGCCTAACTAATATGTGTGTGGTTATTTTTCTTCCCCTTGCATAGTCATACCATTTAGATGTAAGCTTTGTTCATGTTATTAAAGGCTGTCAAATTTCTAAATCAACACCAGAGTACCAGTCCCTGGAAACACATGTCCCTCATTTTTACTTCTACAATGCCATGGAACCTGTTCTTTACTATGTGCAGAAAAAAATCAACACCCATTCCTTCCTCTTAGCCATCTGTCTTTTTAACCACCCTCCTCACATACAGAAATATACAAACATCCATTTCTGCTGCCATGCAAGCCTGGGAGGAAAATAACCAAGCCGGGACAAATGTTCCCTTTCTTCCTTGGTCCCTTTCCTGCTACTACAGTTTTCTTAAATTATCAATCTAAGAAAAAAGGATGAAAAGATGAGATGAGCAATACCTTCCTGTAAATCAAGTCACCATGTTAGATGTCACTGGAGATTAAAAAAAGAGAGAGACATGGCATCTCTACTTGAAAACTTGTAGACTAGCAGCAGTGACACAACAGACAAAGCAAGAGAAAAACAAACACAATCATTTGCTAAATTGAGCAAGTCAACAACTAAGCTATATAGAAAGCTGCCGATATATTTAGGATACAAACCTTAATGTGGCTGGGCCATTACATAGGCCATTTCTAAAAGCAGTGATTTCACTAATCCCTAAAATTCACACTTCTCTTTCTCATTTATTCAGCTGCAAGCCTTATAACTATTCTGCTCCTCATAAACATTTAAACTGAAAGCTTGACCAAGCATAATGCTTCCATGTGCTGAGGGAAGTCTCACAGGTGTAAAGCAGGTGCGACTTAATTTTCCCAGCGTGATTTCAATCCAGTTGCATATGGCATTTTTAAAATTGTACAAAGGAACTCTGACCAAAGGAATGTAAAGTACCCATTAGGATTTGGCGTGGTGATCCATACCCTTGAGAGAGAGATGCTCTCAATCACACCATTTTCACAGCTAGCGACACTAAAAAATATGATGGCTTACTGCCTTGTTCAGGTTTTTACCTGTAGCCAGTCCCAGAGGAGCACAACTTGAAGCTCAAGCTTGTGACTGGTGCCTGCTAAAAGTATTATTTAGAACAGAGTTCAGGAATGGATGTCCCAAGACCCTTCCTCTACTTCCTCTTGGAGAAGGAAGCATAAATATGAGGTGGGAGGATTGCAGAAAGCAGGAGGACATCGGGATTAACCAACATTATTGGAGCGAATTATCCTAAAATCTAGCCTCTGTATTTTTGTTTCTTTTGTTTACCCAAATTTCTGTAGCTGTTTGGGTCAGATGGTTATAACACTGAGCTCCTAAACTTAAGTATGCGAGTTAGATTCCAGTTAACTCTCTGTAATATAGCCACAGATTGTACTCTGAACCTGGAATAGGCATCTCATATATCCAAGTCCTTGTCTTAAGGAACAAAAAATGACTCACAAACATAAACATATATCTTCTTATGTTGATTTGTAGCACCAATTTTGTATATGAAAGATCTCATAATTTTTCCTCCAGTTCTGGTGCTGTATAGCCAATGTAGAGTGCTGTAGGAGGCCAGTAGACAAGCATACGAGTAAATCAATCTATTCTTCCAGAGCTACTTAGGTGAGTCTCTATTTACAATTTTTTTCTAAGCTCTTTCCTTGTGTTGATTTTAAATTTAATCTAAAACCACATATTTTCTCCTAGTTTCTGATATAGCATTATACCTGAAATTCAGAACCTTTGCTCTAATCTTAATATAACATAGATTAGGTTAGGAAAAAGAAAGCATGTGTTTTGCAAAAACTCTATCTAATATGATTTCCTTTTTGCATCACATGAACTTAGTGTGAATGGGGCTAGTGATTCTTTGTTTAAAGCAAAATAAGTTGTGAAGTTGCATAACCTCTTCTAAATCCCTGTTGTATAGTCAGATATATGTGCTACCTTATCCTCCCCAAGTAAATAAATTCCATGAGGACAGGGGCTATATCTTATATGACTTCTTTTATTGCCCATACTGCACTGGAAAAATAGTAAACATACCATAAATATTGGTTTAAAGTAATTGAAATATTTCATCTATGTTTTCTATGATCCTCTATTTTTATCCATTTTATTCTATATTTTATGTGTCTTGTCCGCCCCCATTACCTAGGTCACCTAGGTTACATTTAATAAAAACAAAACCTATTTTTTTTAAAGATTTGTGTTGGGGAATTGGGGGATGGGGAACAGACAAGTTGCTGTCATTTTGTTCTTCAGTCTAGTTGTGAAGGACGTTGCTACACTGGCCCAAGTTGGCACCATCATTGCGCTCTTCCCGGGTGAGGCAGATCAGTCGCCGGCTTCTGGACGGCCGCTCACAGTGGCTGATGGCCTCTCACGCTGGCTGCTGGCCACATACGGTAGCCCATGGCAACCTACTGCAGCAGGGACTGCAGCCTACGCTGTCGCCGGCGACTCACAGCAGCCCAGCTCCAGGTTAAACCATTGTTCAGCATCTTAGCTGTAGAGGGCAGTGTCACTGGCCCTCATATGTGGGATCCGAACCGGGGCCTTCTGGCATCCCAAGCCAGTTCTCAACCAACACGCCACTTGGCCGGCCTTAACATATTTTTAATTTTTGTTAAATTCATTGGGGTAACATTGGTTAGGAAAAAATATATGTTTCAAGTGCACAATTCTATAATGCATCATCTATATATTGCATTATGTATTCACTACTCAAAGTCAGTTCCCTTTCCATCACCATGTATTTGATCCCATCTCCCTTCATCTACCACTCCTTTCCCCCCTTTCCCTCTAGTAACAAAACCTATTTTTCAATTGGTGAATATTGACTCCTTCTATTATGAATTGTCTTGAATCTCAAACAGAAAAGAACAAAATAGTGATATATGGCTTTATCATATAGAGACAGCATAGCATGATGGGAAGAGCTTTGGCAACAAACACAACTGGGTTTGAAAGTCAACCAAGATTGGAGTACAACTTTGGGAGAGTTAATAATTTTTTAGCATTGGTTTTCTCATCTACAAAACAGGGAAATAATGGAGTTATTGTGAAAATTTAAGAGATCTTGCCTCATACTTAGTACATCATAAGTGTGCAATAAATAAGAATTATTTTTTACTTATAATATTCATAGTATTTATTGAAGTTTTAACATGTAGATTCAGGGAAAATATATTACAAATAAAATGTACGCTTTACATTTAATCTTTCATTTTTGAGAGACTGTCAATTTTATTAATAATTTATTTTTTTTATCTGAGCCATCCTGCCACCTGTTGGCAGCTCAGCAGGAGCTCAGCTTGGGCTGGGAATCGAACAGGCGACCCTGTTGCTCAGAGCTCACACTCTTGAGCAAGCTCTTAACCAACTGAACCACTCGGCTGACATTAATAAATTTTAAAGTAACTTATTTGAGTATACAGTTATTTTCCAAGGGTTACCATATTTATCCTCGTATGAGATATGAGTATCTCATATTGGTTGAATTTTTATATACCAATAATTAACTATCAGAAAGTGAAATTAAGAAAACAATCCCATTTACAATCGCATCAGAAATAAATAAATAAAATACCTA